ACGGTTCAGCGCGGTTCAACAGCGACAGAACCTAGCGCCGATGTTTATTCGTCGTGTCGGTCGATACACCGACCGATTGCAGTACACCTGAAATCAGGGATGAGTTCTACAAGGACCTTTCTCGGTTACCCCAAAGCATTCGATCAACGGACATTGTGGTACTCGCTGGAGACTTCACTTCTCAAGTGGGACCCCTGGACGAATCTGAAAGGCTTCTTGGCGGACCGTATGAAATCCAGCCAACCGGACAGACAACGGCGATCGTCTACTTCAACTCTGTACGGACCACGGGTTGTTCCTGCCAAGCACCAACTTCTCAGACAAGAAACGACACCGCCTTACATGGAATCCGCCAACCTTTTCACTGAGCTGGACCCAAATCGATCACATCGTCATCAGTTACCGCTGGAGGGGATCGATTCAAGACTGTAACTCTTACTGGTCAACACCTGTGGAAACGGCCCACGCTTTGCTGTGAGCTAAATTCTCCCTACGCCTCGCAAACCACCGTGAAAAGCCATCGACAACGGATACCCACGATACACCGTCAGCGATTGTTGTAAATCAGCCTTCGAAGTGGCGCTCTCCGATCGTCTGTCAATTCAACCACCAGCCGAAGAACTCAACGAATACAGGAAGCGATTCATGAAGCCTATGCAAATATCAATAAAAGCTGCGTCAGACCCTCGCACAGGCTCAAAACACAAGCGATGGACCTCATCGACCTCAGCTGCCCTGCTGGACGCCCGCAGAACCCTCCCTCCGGATGCCACATACGACACAGCGCGCAAATCCCATAAACGCCAGCTCATCGAGAGTCTGAGGAATGATCGCGAGAATTGGTGGATAGGAGAATATCTAAATGGGAATACGGGTCCTAGGAAAATAGGCATGAGGTAATTAAGGAATCCGATGGCACACTGATTCACGATCAGCAACCCTTTCTTGATCGATGGGCTGAACATTTCGAGGCTCAATGCAACTGGTCAAAGCTACATTTGAACTATCACCCTGCACCGCGACTGAGCGAATACTGCCAGATGATGCCAGTCCTCCTTATGAAATGGAGGTTTCTCAAAAGGCATAAGGCATCCGGCCCAGACGGGCTCTCCCCATCCGTTTTTAGGAATGGAGGTTTAGCCCAGGTTTCGGAGTTAACGAAACTCATAGGCTCAGTGTGAGAGACGGAACAGGTTACAACCAAATGGTGTGAATCGGTAATCATACCGATTTACGAAATAGGTGACACATATTCCTGTGAAAACCACAGAGGAATTAGTTTAATCAACAGTGCTTCTAAACTTCTCGCTGGTATCATACTCCGTCGGTTGTCTGCCGCATGTGAAGAGTGCACGCGTGAGAACCAGGTGGTTTTAGACCTCGTCGAGGTTGTATTGACCACATCTTCACTCTTCGCCAAACACTTGAGCACTGACATTCTTTTCGTAAACCCAACATCTGTCTAGATTTGAAAGCGGCCTTCGACTAAAACGACAGCTCTAGACTCTGGCGCTGCCTTTACCTCAAGGGTGTGCCCGATGAAGTTTATTTCAATATTGCAATCCCTCTATACTCAATCGAAGCTGGGTAGGAGCTTACGGGACTTTTTCACCCGAGTTCACCACAGAAAGTGGTATTCATCAGGGTTGTCCTCTCTCTCTCCTTTTCTAGTTAACTTTGTTATAGATTTGATTATGGAAACAGCCCTATCCTCGTTTAAGGATAGTGGCACCAATTTACTCCCAGGTGGCAGACTGTCTGATCTAGAGTATGCAAACGACATTGTGCTACTAAGTGATAATCCAGATAAGTTACAAGCTTTTCGGGATAGTTTGAGTGCTAGTGTAGCCATGTTCGGTATGCGTTTTGCACCTTCAAAGTGTCAAATGTTACTACAAGACTGGGTTGGTCCAGCACCCAGACTCACTCTAAATGGGAAAGTAATGAAGCAAGTGGATAAGTTCTGTTATCTGGTCAGACACATCTCATCCGGTGGACGCATCACGAATGAAATGTCAGCTCGCATACAGAAGGCTCAGTTGGCATTTGCCAACTGGAGACATCTGTGGCACCGTCGCGACATCCGGTTGTCTGTGAAGGGTTGAGTGTATGCTACGGCGGTTCGGCCAGTTCTGCTATATGGACCAAAAACTTGGCCATTAAGAAAACAGGACAAAGATAGGCTGTCGGTATTCGAACACGGCTGTCTACGCAGCATTGCAAGAATCTGGTGGGACAGCCGGGCGCGCAATGCCGAGATTAGGCGCAGAGTTTTGGGTCTCCGCAGTCATCCACTGGAGCAAGTGGTCGACCTCTATAGATTACGTTGGTTGGGGCATGTGTTACGCATATCACTACATAGGTTGCCACGGCAAGCGATGTTTGCCGAGCCAAGTAAAGCCAAGGGTGGTCAATCTGACACCTGGTATGAGGGTATGAAAACCGTAATCGGGAGCCTGGGTCACATAGGTCCCTTTAGGCTCCCCGGCCAGGCATCTCGGGGTGTTCGTAACCGATGGTTAGAGACACTGAGTGATATGGCTGAGTGTCGTAAACAGTAGCGTTCGTGCTTTGCTGTCGTCCGCTTCAATAACACGCCTAACCTAGCGGGGCCCTATGTGCTTCGCCACTCCAAGTCCCGGAGCTTAGGTTACCAGTTTCTATCACGGAACAGAAGGTCTACATGACTATGGAGTCTAACCACGTCTGTTGTTCACCACACAGACAGCTTCAGTTTGAACAGCCATGCACTTTCGTGCGCCGGTTTTGATTGCTGTCTCAGTTAGATGAACAGCAGGAGGAAGACAAAAAAGTAGAGTCGAATAGAAAATGGAGAATTTGAGTGGACCAAGAAATAGAGAAAATGAACGAACACTGTACAAAAATGTGTATTTCATATATATATATATATATATATATATATATATATATATATATCCTGAATTGTAGTAACCCATGTCAGCGCCAAGAGTTGCGGAGAATGTCTGTAATCCAGCC